TCCTTGTAATCGGTAGCCCCTTTCCAACCCACCTTCCCTTGATGATTTATAAATTATTATTTTGTCATATCTTACACTGTCCGATGTCTCCCTTCACCCACTTCTCTGTTGTCCGTCTGCCAGGGAGGATGTAGTTACTCTTTTGCATCCATCCTTAACTTCCTTACTTCTTTAGCTCTGGGACTGTAACTTTTAGGGGAGTAGAAAGCCCTGTCGTCCTCCTGCCTCAGAGCGCCTGGTGGTCTCAAACTGCCAACCTTGCAGATCGCAGCCCAACACGGAACCACTATGCCGCCAGGGCTGCTGGACCTTAGAAGTTTGCAATTAAAGAAAATCCTTGTAACTTCTTCTTTCTTCTGTTAATGGACCATTTAGTGGTATACCGACCAGTGGTCCTCTCTTCTCCCATCAGCTCACCTGGTGCACTTAGGTTAACTGGTCATCTTACTTCATTTTATTGACAGGATAACCTCATTAGCAGAATCTCAACTGCAGACCCGCCAGCAAATTAAGAAACTGGAGGAGTTGCAGCAAAAAGTGTCTTACAAGGGGGACCCCATTGTGCAGCACCGGCCAATGCTGGAAGAGAGAATTGTAGAGCTGTTCAGAAACTTAATGAAGAGGTAATTTTAGAATCCCTACTCCTCTCCCGATCCACTTGGCTGGCAGGACACACACCGCAGCAGTGTGAGCGGCTGGCCTTCTGGTTTCCTTTCAGTGCCTTCGTGGTGGAGCGGCAGCCCTGCATGCCCATGCACCCCGACCGGCCCCTGGTCATCAAGACTGGGGTCCAGTTCACCACTAAAGTCAGGTGGGTGCCTGCCCTGCCGTCGGTAGGAACACTCTTAAGACGGGCCGAGTTGGGTTGGGGTTAGGGGTGCTTTCTCTAGGTATCACAGGCAGTACTCCCGTGGGCATGGTGTGTTGACCTAACAGGAGTGGATTCCGGTGTCCAAAGCTAAAGAGTGGGCCACTCTTTGAGGTTCCCTGGACTTATTTCTGTGGTTCTTGACCTAGAGAGTGATGCCCATCCCTCTCCGAGGCGGAAGGTAACGGAGGCCACTCTGCTCACGGAGCCTCTTTCTCTCTGCCGATGGAAGAGAGAGAGAGCTCTCTTACTGAGAATATCAGCGGCAGAGCAGCTAGTCCCGTAGTCTGGCCCATGAACTTCTATGTATTATCCTTTGGTGACTTTCTCCCAACTTTGCCCAAGTTCTCAATTTGGGGGTTTAAATTTTTTTTCCCAGCCCCTTTTAGGCTAAGGGGGTGAGGGTGGAGAGTGGGATTCTCTGTTTGAGATTCAAGAGGGCACTGGCTAGAGGAGGAATTTGAGAGTATGACCGATTCACCTCTTAGATGGGAAATTCGACATTTTGTATTTTTTCAGTTATAAGTTATGATTTTAACTGGATGTGTGTGGTTTTTTTTTTTTCTTTACCCAGAAACTTTTTTTCTCTTTCTGTAACAGGTTGTTGGTCAAATTCCCTGAATTAAATTATCAGCTTAAAATTAAAGTATGCATTGACAAGTAAGTACCTTCTAATCAGCTCTCTCCCTTGCCCCCCCACCCCCTCTCCATCAAGGACAGAAAGATGCTAACTTTGACAGAGATCTTTTGAGTGTAGAGACTTTATCTCCCTCCAGAGATCATTTTCTGAACAAAGCCTTTCAGAAGCCTGGTGGGACGTTTGCCTTTACGTGCCTGAAGCCAACCACAAGGTGCTGCTACCCATTGATTCAGGTTGAGATTGTGCTTGTGACCTCCTGCCCTTCTTTCCTTATTTAGCCTTTTACTTGCAAATATGCACATTAGAGAAAACCAACCGCGTGTGGGAAAGATGGATGCCTGATCCCTTCCCCGTCACCATGTACAGGACCAGCAGAGCTAGCAGTTTGCATCTGTGCCCTTAGGTCTGCGTGCATTTTGCTGCCTCTGACTGGTTGTTTGCTAGGGGAGCGCTTCAGAAGCCATTTCTTTGCCAAGGCATGGCACTAGCGCTGGGGTAACGTCCTCAGTATTTCCTGGTGGCCCCTGGTTGGCACTGGTGTCAGCCTTTGGTAATATTTCCCATTGCGTATCAGTAACCTAGTTAAAACTCCTATCACACAGGCTCCTAGACCTGTCTGTACTTCTGGTTGATTATTTGTTGTTGAGGGCTTTACAGTTTTTTCAGTAGTGATGTTGAATTAGCTAGTTCTTTTTCATAACTCTACAACTCTAATTTTAATAATAGCTATGTATTATAATTAAGAGCCGTAGACCCAGGTACAGTTTAACCCTTTCTTCTTTTACCAGGTATTACTGTTTTTCCCTTATCTCAGGGAAGGAGCTAACAGTTTTGCCGGCATATATTTAAGGTCATTTACACAGTATTGTTTATATTACAAAAAAATGATAATGCGAAGGGAATCCGATAAGCTATGCTACAGCCATTTGATGAAATCACGTTGCCACTTAAAATCATGATGCCTGTGTACATTTCGTGGCATAGGAAAGTCTTCATGGGAAATATTTAAGTTGAAAAAACATTTTAACTCAGCATGATCTATTGATTAAAAATGAAAATTTGATTAATGTGTAGATAGTCATAGAAAAGAAGCTAGTCTGTACTAGGGTGTTTCAAAATGTTTTTTCCCCACAAGCTTTTTAAAGCCCCTGTGTATATCACGATATTAGCGCAGGCTACCTCTGGGAATGAGCTTATGAGGGTAGTATGTATGCTTTTGTTGTATATTCTCTTTCAGTTCTTTTTATTATATACACGTATTCATTTTAAGGTCAAGATTTTTAAAAATTTGATAGTGAAAAATAAATTATTATTAGATCAGTAACTATAATTACATTGTGTTAGTCTGGGTTAACTCAAGAAACGAATCCAGGGACACTCGTGTGTGTAAGAAATAACTTTATATCAAAGAGCAATTGTATATTGAGGAAACAGCCCAGCCTTGTCTAGATCAAGTCCTTAAGCCAGATATTAGCCCATGTGCCCGATATTAGTATATAAATTCCTCCTCAGACTCACGCAGCACATGCAATGATGCCGAATGCAGGAAGATCACAGGCCAGTGGGTGGAAAGTCTTGTGGATCCAGTGGTGGTGGAAGCATCTCAGCACTGCCGCAGGTCTCCGTGTGGCTCCTCCAGTTCCAGGGCTCTGGCTGCCACCAGCATAGCTCCATGTGGCTTGTCAACAGGAATGTGTAGCGGAGAGAGTGTGTGTGTCCTGTGTCCAAGGAGGAAGAGAGGAGTTCCCGGAATCCTCAGGAGAAGGCCATGCCCACACAGAGCCCTCACTGGCAACAGCCTGATTGACAGGCTAGACTCCACCCCTTCATTCAAGTTACAGGAGATTATTTAACTGCCATAGCATCTTAGAAAAAGAAAACATCTCAAAAAACAAAACAAAACAAAAACCATCTCGTACTAGTTTAAGAAACAATCTTAACCACTGTACTTACATGAGACTCTAGGACAGCAGTTCTCAACCTGTGGGTCGCGACCCCTTTGGGGTTGAACGATCCTTTCACAGAGGTCGCCCGATTCATCACAGTAGCAAAATTACAGTGATGAAGTAGCAACGAAAATAATTTTATGGTTGGGGGTTGGGGTCACCACCACATGAGGAACTGTATTAAGGGTCACGGCATTAGGAAGGTTGAGAACCACTGATGTAGGAGTTCAGATGAACTGGGAAGGACTGGAACCTTTTTAAAAAACCTTTTATTGACATACAGCATGCCTACATACAAGTCAGATTATCAGGATTATGGTTCTGTCTTTAATCTGTTTTCTGTACCCACTAATGCTCAGCACATGTGCGTTAAGATCCTAAGGGAAAAGCTACCTGTTTAGTTGAAAGGAAAATGGGGACTGCCTGGCAGCCCGCTCCTTGGATCGATTTCTAAACTCTGTGCTGGTTTTCATCTGTTTGGGTGACAGCTCCCTAATGTTAAGGATTCGTGGTGCTTCCTAGCTCTGTCAGGCAGCCTAGTTTCTAGTCAGGCCCTTCTGTTATCCCTCTGAATATTGTCAAGCACCTGTAAACCACAATTCGCTCACACGAAGAGAACACAAATACTTGAAAATAGGAAGGACAGAAAGGCAACTTCAATAAATTAAATGAAGTGGTAAAAGTTTTCAAAAATAATGACTGGATAAAATTGCCTATCAGTTTATATATAGGAAATGGCCAAACCTCCACATGGGGAAAGTCATAATCTTAAAAGATTGACTAGGAACCGGGAAAATTCAGCTGAAGCATCTAGAAAAAGACAATGAACTTAAAGACAGTGGAAGAGGTGCTTGTAAGAGCCAGGTGTAAGTGAATTGTAACAATAGTGTCTTTAAATCACATGTAAGTGCAAGACTGATGAATTTAGAAATAGGCTTTGGATGAGAGTAATAAAGGAAACAGATACACAGAAAATTATCATGGAGAAGTATAAGCAGATATAGGATAAAAACCAAACCACACCCACTGCCCAGGGGCAGAGTTCAACCTTTAGCCTTCCCTTTATAGAGTTTCCAAGACTACCTGGGAGCAGACAACCTCATCTTCTCCCACGGTGGTTTTGAACCACCGATCTTGTGGCCCGCAGCTGAGCTCTCAAGCGCGACCCCACCAGGGCGCCTAATGTGGTACTGCTTAGCAAGAACACTCAGAAGTGACTGTAAAGAATGCATTCAGAAAGTAGGGGACAAGCTTCACAAACGGTTTCCAGCTTTATCAAGTGGGAGCGTCCCAAGTTACAGGGAACAGACTTTAGAGAAAACCCAACGTGGCTTAAATCATAAGGGATTTTACACCCCAGTGTAACTGGAAGTGCAGTCAGGGCCAGTTCTCCAAGGTGAGACCAGTGACTCCTTGATGTGTCGGAGGGCCCAGCATCCTCTCCCTTTGCTAGCGTCAGTGTCCGCTGCATTCTTCCGCCCTTGCTGTGCTGACACGTCACTGGTCATAGCGGTCAAGGCTGCATGCTTGCTTGCTTGTGTTCCGCCTTGAATGTCATTCCTTCTCTTGTGTCTGATGGACACACTCTGTAGGTCGTGTCCTCTCTCCTGGCAATGGGGTTGGAATGATCAGACTTCCTGGGAGCTGGGGACCCTGAGCAGAATCACCCCTGTAGAAGGGGGCAAGCAGCTGCTGGGTCGGCGGCCAACAGGGTGGTTGCATTTAGTGCGGGATGTGCCCCAGTCATTTCGAGGGTTCCCAGGAGCCGAGTCACAGCAGTAATGCTCTTCCACAAGCCTGGGTCCGTTTTGTGAGAGACTGTTTGTGTTCTTCACAGAGACTCTGGCGACGTCGCAGCTCTCCGAGGGTGAGTCCCGCCCCCAGACTTTGTTCTGTTCTGTCGAATCCCACTGTATCCTCCGGCCACGCAGTCACCTGCATGCTGGTTCTTCTCCTGTGATGCAGATCTCGGAAGTTTAACATTCTGGGCACGAACACGAAGGTGATGAACATGGAAGAGTCCAACAACGGCAGCCTCTCTGCAGAATTCAAGCACTTGGTATGACGTGGCACCGCACACCCTTCCCTGGGTCCTGAAGGTGGACATGGGCGGGGGGAGCCTGATGACCCACGCGCCATTGCTTGTCTTGCAGACCCTGCGGGAGCAAAGATGCGGCAATGGGGGCCGAGCAAATTGTGATGTAAGTTGGTTGACCAGAAAAGGGTGATCCTCTTTATTGCCCCGAACCAGGGACATCCACCCCAGCTGCAACTGTAGTGGCTCAGAAAAATGACCCTGGGCCAGGTGACATGCTCAGAAGTCACGTATGCCACGCTGTGGTTCTGGTTCTGGGCAGTGAGCTCATCTCTGTGGAGAGTTGGGGAGTCCCTTGGTGGTGGGGAGCAGCCACACCCGCCTGACAGCCTCTTGCCTGGGGCTTTCCAAGTCCCCCTCCCAGCCCCTGCCAGCAGAGGGCGCCATGCAGGCTCGTTGGGGTGACCCAGTTTCCACACCAAGGGGTGTAGAAAGGCCACAAATCCGAGTTGAACCATAAAAGGAACATACGAACCAAGCCTTTCCTGGCTCTGTGCCCCCCTGATCCAGCGTCAGAAAAAAGCCATTCGCTTAGGCAACTGTGAGCAAAACTCCTTTGTGACGCCATTCTTTTCCTGTTGTGCAGCCCTGTGGCTCCCGAGCGCCCAGGGCCCCTCGTCCAGCGGGCCAACAGCTCCCTCTTCAGGAGAAAACCAAAATTACACAGCGCCCCCTGGCAATTAAGCCCTGATGTGCTGCAGCCCCTTCATCCAGGACCAAGGCTGGAACCTGCCTTCGGTTGTTCCAGTGCCCCCGGGAACAGTATCACCCACTTTGGAAAACACTGCCCTACGACCTTTTTCACACGGGTGCAGTTGAATTATAAGCCTGTAAGACGTGGCAGCAATCAAAGAGGGGGTTAGTTTATTTGCATCAATACTCAAAAATAATGTGCGCTCCGCGTATCTGTTTAGACAAGGCGAGATGCACCACACTTGGGGTAGGATGTTCATGTATTTGTTGTAAAGATTCCACCCCGTGTGCCTTGACTCACGTAAGCGTTGCCACGCTGAAGAAGCAGGTGCGAGGGAGCGTGCGTACGTCATGCTGGGGCCTGCATCGGGCTGCTCCGGGCCACCTCTCTCTCTCACGGCTTTGAAACTGCTTGAAAGTACGTTTCAAGTCAGGAAGGGAGCGCTAAGAAAATGTTTCGAAAAGGATAATGGCAACATCTGGACAGATGTGCTTGACACAATAGATTTATGCATGGATTGTGATGAGATCCGTAAGAGCCCTCAATAAAGTACAATGAAAACATTTTTAAAAGACGCACAAAAATGAACATTTCCTACAACCCAGCAGTGCTGCGCACAGGACTTGGCAATAAAAAGAAAAATCTTTGCCCACGTGCCCCCGGAGACGTGTGCAGAGTGCTCGTGGCAGCCTGGCTGTGAGCTTTACAACCAAGTAGCTAAGTACCACCGAACGCTAGCACCCCAAAGCAGTGCAGTGCGGTGCCTGACCCTATCGTGCTAGGCTAGAAATGCCCTCTGGGTTTCCGAGGCTGGGAATCTCCACTAGCAGAAACCCCCCTCTTCCTCCTGTGGCGCGGCCGGTGGAATTGAACTGCTGACCTTGTGGTGAGCTGTCCAACTATGTCACCTGGGTCCCTACCAACACTGAAAGAGATGATGTGTGGCCTCCTCGTGTGTTGGAATACTCTACAGCTGTGAGAATGACTGAATGATGGGCGTCCACAGCCACGGGGGTGCATCTCATAGTAAAAAATAAGTCACAGAAATTGGCAGTCCGATTCTATACAGATCTGGCTCCAGGACCTTCTGAACTATATGGTGCTTACACTGTTGGACATACAAGTGTGCCGGACTCCCTGGAAGGGCTAGGAAGTGACCTGGCACCCAGAATGTGGGTGCGCACGGCCTTTTTCTGGAGGTGGGCGGTGGGTGCACCGTGCCGTTGTTTGGTTGCTGTGGGAGTCACCTGTTGGAGCTGCTCACTGTTGAAATAGACAAGGAGCACTGGAAAGGGTCCCTGTTGAGATCTTGTGCTCAGAGCTGTGTTGTCAGTGGAGGGGCGGGCGGGTGGTGAGTCCCCTCCTAGCGAGTGCAGTAAGGTGCTTGCCTGGGCCCCTGCTGCGA